AGCAAGTGCTGTTGTGGTTACAAGCTTCAGGGACAGTTTTCGGCTTGTATGTCTTTCATCACACTCCGTCGTCGGCGCCTACATCCCTTACTACTGAAGTATTCGGTTCCTTTGGAGCTGCCTTGGGATTGGTATTTCCGGCCTTCCATTGTTTATTGGCGTTTCAGTTTGAAACACACTGCGTTCTATATAGGTTCTACTTCCCAAGACGCGTTCCTTCGGGAGCAGTCACGCCTACGGAAATACAGACAACTTTGCCAAGACGTTGCTGCGTACTTTGAACCTGCACTACAGTATTGGCGGCGAACCAAATCCTTTTTTCAATTTTCTATCTTGCCCTTATGCCAGGAAGAAAGTACAGTCCTGGCTGCTGCGGAGAGTAGCATGCAATAAGTCATCAAGCCACAGCTGAATTGGCCGTGGATCAATCCCTTGTTGAAACGCCTAGGTGTTGGGCGAGAATCTTTTTGTGCTTCCCATGACGCAGGCAGGTCAGGTTTCTGGCAAAGCAACTTTTCGAAAATATCAATCGTTGATGCGGACTGGTACAGATATTCGATGTCATTTGAGCCGTCGACTGCAAGATGGCCGAGGGATGTTTCTTCTTCTTGAACATTTGGGGTCTAATTCCTTACAGAAATTTGAAGCGGCAAAGAGTGTTCGGTCAGTTCAATCCGATGTCAATTTTGTGTTTCTGCTGTACCGCCTTTCTCGATTTCTTTACGAGCCTCATCGAACTCGTGCACAACAGCAATTGACGTTTGTGTTTCGGTATTACCACACCAGACCACCACCTGCTAACATTCCTTTGAGAATGCCGATGTTGGATTTACAGTTCGCGCAGGCTTGTAGGGCATGGCTGACAGGCTTTTGTCACCACCACCGGTACCGGTTTCCTCCTTTGCACAAGCCCCGCGCTCCTTTGGTTGCTGTGAAGGGCTGGACTCTCGGTTCATTTCTTTTCAACTTTCGACACTACTTAACACATTGGAGATGTGGGCAGTCCATGCCATGCAGTTGTCACGCGTTTTCAGATTCTGTGCAGGGATCGCTGGGTCCTGGACAGCACGCAATTGCTTGGGCCTCACAACTGGCCCCAGGCTTAGATATATTGAAGGCTCATATGCAAGACGAGTGTATTCCTGGATGGCGGCAGTATATGCACAAGGCCACGGAGTATTTCGAAAAATGGTTGCAATGCTGGTTGCTACCGCCGTATTTGATGATTTGGTGGCAAGCAGAGCTTCGAGAACAATGGGACCGTTGGATGTCCAGCCCCCAGCCCAAATGGGACTTTAGGCATGTCTTTCATGCGAGACAGAAGCTGAGGGAAGTTGTGGTTGCCTCAGCAGACCATCACCCCCATTCCCTTTTGGCTATGTGTTCCACGCATTTCCAGTTCCTGCTTCAAAGAACCTTTGGAGACCGCGATGTCTTCAAACCCGGCCTGAATGGCCCAGATTTGGTCTTACGAAATATTCGCTCTGAGCTATCCTCCTGTTTCTTACAGAAATTTCGCTGGGGACTGAGGTGGGATTCTACCCTGCCTTCTGCGTATATTTTTCCAAAGCCCAATCGTTTCTTTCAGAAAGCACGACCAATTGTTGCATACACACAGGCGTGGTGTTCTGGGTTCCACCATCGCGGTACTGCTCCTTGAAATGATTATGCATGTGTTTGGGAATCTTGCGGCTGACCAAGATGTGATTTCCATTCTCCGGGCAGTCTACCGCTGTTTTCATGAATATCCAGAGGATGACTTGGACGTCCGCCAGCAAGATATCGGGGGGTTCTACAACTACGTGCAGCACGAGCGCGTTCTTCTCGCAGTCCAATTTTCCTTGTACATCGCTACGCGGAGATGCAGTCCATGTCGTTGGTGCAATCAGTGCAGGTCCACACACACAAATTGGAACGCACTCTGCGGATTTTCAGAGGGCGATGGAGAGCTCGTAGTTCGCAGTATCGGTCCCTGACCTTGCAAGATGTTCTTACAGTTGTGCGGTTTTGCTTCAATTTAGTTTCCGTAGAGTTGGTTTTCAGACCTTTCGGCAGGTGCAAGGAATCTCAATGGGCAGTCAATGGGCTGCAGCGCTGTGTTCGTTGGTGGCTTTGTTTCGGGAGCATGTCTTCCGTACGGATTTTGCCACAACCTTTACCCCTGTTGTTTACTCGGCGCTATGTCGACAACCGCGTGCACGTGTATTTATCTTCTATGCGTGACTTGCAAGAATTCCGGTTATATGTTCATCCTGGATTCTTTTCTCGACCCATCGTCTTAGAAGAAGTGGAAATGGATGAGGTATGAGGTTTTCGGGTATGCCCAATGCAACGTTCAGTCACCTTCATTCAGCCTGCGGAGCGTCATCTCCGACATTCACGTAGCACCGGCAATTTGCAAGGTCTGCGCGCAGGATTTCTCGCTAGGCTCCGGCTCACCTTTCGGGTAACCAGGCCGCGGTGCCTTCAATTCGCTCAAGCGCAGGACTTGTTTGCAATA